CCACTTCCGCTACAAGAAGGGGCGTTGTCGATTTATTCGTTAAAAATAAAGCGGCCAAGAGCGTGTCAGGCCACGCTCAGTGTAGGGTTCCGTAGTTTCCCGTCCGTCACAATAAGTGTTCCCACTTATGAGTTTAAAGGTGGGTATCCATTATGTTCGCGCTCCAGCAGCACTCCGCGCTCCTGCAACTGCTCCCGGTAGTGGGTACTGTTGTTTCCATCCAAGTTCAAAATGATTTTCCTAGAAAGTCCTTATAAAGTTCTACTTTTCAGATTTTTTTCATATTTTCTAAACTTATGGTTCAAAAGTTAGAGGGGGGGGACACACATTGTTTTTTACTTTTGGAGCGATTATTTCCGAAATTATTGATATTATCAAAAAATGATTCCAGTAAACCCTATTCATTTTTAAATACCTTTCCAACAATATATCGCACGTTAGGGTTGAAATTAAAAAATAAATCACTTCCCACTTTACATATAGGGGGGCTACCCTAATAAAACATTTTTTTCCAATTATATATATAAAATTTACCACTTTGTCGGCGTGATTGATACACATATTGGTAACAAATTTCAGCTTTCTAGTGCTAACGGTCACAGAGATTAAGCGAGGACGGACAGACGGACAGACAGACATGGCGAAACTATAAGGGTTCCTAGTTGACTACGGAACCCTAACAAGGCGTTCATTTCGACCACAAGGATTATAGATGTTAGTAATAATACAAATCTTAAAACTAATTTTAGTAAAACTTAAAAATATTTACCTAATTTTAAAAGTATATCTAAGTAAAAAAATATATCCGATTAGTCAGCACGTACACCATATGACAATAGTTCAGGTACTGAAATCAAACCTGTCAAAAATTGCCCTCAGGATACCATTGGAACTGGCCCGCACCCTGCACATCAAGGATGTGCATCGTTTACGCTTGGTAGTGTAGAAACAATCCACAGGCACATCCGCGAACATACCTGGCGCATTACAATTACGGGGCAGACCCATAGCACCCTAAATGCATTATTGTATTGAACACGAATTTAATCTGTAGCTTGTACCGCCAAAGATACGAAACGGCAACGTCGCGGCTGCTTTCAGCCAACCCGATCGTTTATCTTATCGTTTGCTGTGCTCTGATTGGCTCATTTAAATCGGATCAACATTTTCCGTAACCATCGCAAGGTGGATTTGTATATCGGATCAACTTCGGCACACGTTAGCAAACAGTCTCGTGAGTGCAGATGTTGATCCGGTAGGAGCCACATTAGTTACCAGAGATGCATATTGGATCAACAAAAGGCGCCGGATCAACATGCGTTTTCGGATCAACAAAGCGCTCGCGTAAGTCACGTCTGATCAACATTTACCGTAAAGAGATCGGTAAATGTTGAAGAGAATAATATATATATATATATATATATATATATATATATATATGTCTCAGAAATGCAGTTTTCCTCACGACGATCAGCCGTAAACACCGAGAGTACGTTAAATCAAAGATCGGATTCAGTTTACTGTCGCGTTCTTTAAAATTTTAGACGCCTTATCCTTGAACTAAAGCATCTCACTTATGCTGGATACTGTATTCCTACGCAAAGCAGAAAGTGTATGAAAAACATTACTAAAACATTAGAAATACTGCTTCCTATTCTTTATGAATCCGTAAAATCTGCAAAATGCAGGAGTGTAAGTTAGATTTTGAATGTGGTCTCTCTTACATAGGTCAAACAAAAAGATCCATAAAAAACCGCGTGAAAGAACATATAGCTGACGTGAAGCACCGACGCTCCGGGAAGTCTGCAGTCTGCGAACTTGTTCAAGATCGTCCCCACCATTACATCAGATTTGATAAACCGCAAGTCCTCGCAAAAGAACACCGATTTCTACCTAGTATGATACGCTAGGCTATTGAAATTAAAAAACATTATCCTAATTTCAATAGAGAAGATGGATGGGTGCTGCCATGTGCTTAGGATCCTATAATTAACAAAATTAAACCCAAACCCAAGCATACCACTGCAAGACTTCAAGATACTGTAAGTTCGTTTTGCGTAAATCGGGCCGAAAATTAATATAAAAAAAAACTGAAGGTAGTTGGGCTAACTATGACACTGGGACGTCAAACATCTCAGTCCCCCCCGTTAACATGGGTGTTGTAAAGCACCCGAAACGTCGGAAATTAAAAATGAATAAAAGTAATTAAACGCGACTAAATCCGTAAATATAGTTTTATTCAATAGTTTTTTTCTTATTTCTCGGACTTAGCCTCATTTTTTTTCTTCTCCGCCGAGCACGTGGTAAATCAGCACTTAAAATTGCAATTAATAATTTCATTGGTGCCGGCGGGCATCGAACCCGGGTTACTCGCGTTCTGTTATATTTACAGCGAGCGTTAACCATCTGAGCTACCACGTAACCCATTAGTCTGTGATTATTGAATTTTATGTATTCTATTTGTAGCACGTTTTCCACCCTAGTTCAATGCAGTACACGTACTTCTCCCACTAACTTTCGGGTTAGCTTGTAGAAAATGCCATATGGAATTAAGTCCGCTGTTTGTGCCTACCTTTAGTACAAAGTTTTTAAGCTATTGCATAGCTTCTATCGCGGGCCTTGAGCGCGGGGACCGAATCCAGAAATTCCGTAACGAAAAAAAAATCTCACGCTCCCCACTCCGACGGGCACGGAGGTGTGGCTTGAAGGCCGTGCATCGTCTAACGTCGTTTCAGTTCGGCAGACTTCGCACTCGGCAGACTTCGGCACGGTGTTTGTGTGCGTGCGATTAGACGTATGGGTGTACACTAGCTGCTAACTCAATGATAAAAATTCCTGAATAACCTACATGTATTGTAAGATATTAAAAATATTTTAAACAATATTAACTTCTCATTTATTCAATAAGAGAAAAAAATTGACTTCTTATCGGTCACCACGCTCAAAAAGTGTAACTTGATTTAATATCAATGACTTAACTGCATAAATAAAATAAATAAATAATTATAATTGCATAAGTTGATAAAAAATGCTATGCAATAGCTTTACCGCGGCAGTCACCGAGTGCCACACGTATTTTAATAGGGTAGCGTGACAAACCAGCACACAGTCCACCTGATGGTAAGTGGTTGCTGTGGCCTATAGACATATACATCTATCCTCGATAACGAATCAAAATGCAAATGCGTTGTCACCCGTGAGGACTAAAATGAAATACGTCGATTCCAGTGAAAAGGGTCTCTGGTACTCAACAGTCATGATACGAAACACAACAGTATTACGCTGATATTTAACTCTGGTATACTAGGAGAGCGTCGTCTTTCCCCGGTCGAGCCGAACTATTCATGCTGCTACCATAATAGAAATAGAAACTTTTGCTTCAATATAGATTATAAGTAATACTTATTGGTCCTGGGCAGAACCAGCAAGAATCCCAGCGGGATATTTAAAAAATAATTGGTTGACCCCGCAGGCCATCTCTGGAACTTCCCGCTAATTTCAACTTATCAACTCTTCGAGCTCAAAAACGTCATAAGTTTGGAAAAACGTTTTTTTTTTTCAAAATTGAATATTTCACGAACCAATTAACCGATTTTGATGTGATTTACGGCAATCGATGCAACGTTTTCAGTTTAACAAAACAGCTCTTTACAAAAAAGTTGATTTCACTGAAAGTTTTCAAGTTAATAAAGATATTAATAGTTAATTCGCAACCATACGCTTAATTAAATACAATGATGTGTCTTACCTATAATGGATTTCCGCAAAGTAACACCTGATTCTATCAATTAGTTTTCAAGTTATTTTAAAAGAAACACTTATTGGAGATTTCTTTCGTCAACGATATCTCTAGAACGAATCAACCGATTTTGATGTAGTTTACGGCAATAAACGTTGTTTTTATCAAAGTAATTTCAAGAAAACTACTTTTTGTAAATTAAAAATACTCGAATTTTGGAGGATTTCTCTGAATCAACCGTAATGATTCGGTCTAAATTCACATAAAATCTGAGTTTAGCAAGGCCGATAATCGCTTCTCGATCGGACAATCCGTTACAAAGTTAACATCATCGCAAAAATAGCCAGAATAGCCTTCTAAGACCTCGAAACGTCGAGATCTGATTAGAACTCTATTTTCAAACACCAGGGTGAAAACATTAACATCCCGATTTTTTTACAATCATTGATTATTCATAGCGGGAAGTTAAAAAGGTTAGTTTCGAATTATATAAAATGTTATACAATAATATAGCTGCAACGTGGTTCCACCAGGTACAACAACGTACTGTTTAGTTAATTTTCTTCCACTTTAAGTCTGACATAAGTTAAATCACAGATTATTTTGAAGAATCAGTTGTGATGTATTATAACCTGTATTGTTTTTGTTCCAGCAATATCGCCTTGCCTAGCTCAAAGTAATGTGTCTATACCACTATCACCAGGTAGTTTCCGGAATATTATACGAACATTTGTACCCGGTATGTATTAATTTAATTTTTAAAAGTTTATTATACATTTTTAATAACCGTGTCACTGGTCTAGCGTAAACGAAAACGAGACTGCTGATCATAAGGCCCCGGGTTCGAATACCTGGTTGGGCCAAAACTTTATTATTAAGTTTGGTTATTAAGTTTCTCTATTAAGAAATGCTCAGTAGCAACCTTGAGTCATGAAGATGGGTGTTTCTTCAATCCCTTGTCTCGGAAATCACGTAAACCCGTGCTGCACCTGATCTCTCTTCGGTTGCGTCGGTTTGCCGTCCTATTGGACTATGAAAATGAGGCAAAAGAGTGCACCTGTACTTGTGCATACACTCATGCACTATAATCCTGTTCTGTGCAGTGGGCAAGCCTCCGTTGAGGCTGGCCGCCGTGTTTGAAATTTGGTCTACAGGACATTAAATAAAAGTATTTATACGAATTTTATCGCGTTTAATTAGTATTTTATAGTTTATGGGGTTAAGGTGGTCTAAACCACTCTCTGGTCTCTCATATAGGACAAACAAAAAGATCTATAAAAACCCGCGTGAAAGAACATATAACTGACGTAAAGCACCGACGTTCCGGGAAGTCTGTGAATATGTTCAATATCATCCCCACCATCAGAATGGTGGGGTCATTACATCAGATTTGATAAACCACAAATAATCGTACACACAAAGAACACCGATTCCTACCAAGGATGATACTCCAGGCTATTGAAATTTAAGTAAATTTAAATAAAACATCCTAATTTCAATAGAGAAGATGGTTGGGTGCTGCCATCTGCTTGGGATCCTATAATTAACAAAATTAAACCCAAACCCAAGTATACCACTGCAAGACTTCAAGATACGGTAAGCTCGTTCTGCTTAAATCGGACCGAAAATTAATATTCAAGAACTGAAGGTAGCTGGACTAACTATGACATTGGGACGTCAAACATCTCAGTCCCCCCCGTGACCATAGGTGCTGTAAAGTACCCGAAACGTCGTGAATAAAAAAAAGTTAATGAAAGCAATGAAATATGTACCTATTGATAGTTTTATTGTATATGTAGTAGATATATGTAGTGTTCGCGTAAATATAAGAAATCATTACGGTCTAGAGGACATTATATTTTTTACTCAATTCAGCTAGATGCCATTCGTCTGGTCAAACGACCGTCAATCTGCCTACCGACCGTGATGATCAAAGCACATCCTCCTTACAACGGGAGAGTTCCATATCGGGAGAGGCCCATGTCTAGTAGTGTAGTAGTTTGTAGGCTGACGATGAAGTGAAAGATTTAGGAGAAGTTAAATATTTGCATAATTTACACATTCATTCTGTCATCGGCAGAGAAAAAAAATGTTTGGAGCTCGGAGAGTTTTTATGAAACATACAAAATATAAAGATGAATGAAGAATAAAAGATGTGTCTTGGGTATTTTGACCTCTGTACTCCCTCAGTTGCGTGCATTATCACCGTCACCTCTAACTTCAACACCACTACGCCCGTCATCACTATTCCCAAAACCACTATACTAGAAAAGATTGTAGATAATATGACACATATTTTGCGTCTAAACGAGGCATCATCGAGAGAAATTTTCATACAATGTGTTTTTATAACATATAAAAAGAAATTCTGTAAAAATAATATAATATGTGTACCTACTGCATAGCGCCACTATTAGAATACCCGCTACCCCATATCGTCCCACGGATATCGAGAGAGGTCGCGGAGGGGAGCAAGATAGATGGACAGCGGTGCCTTCCTAATTACAACAAAAAAATATTAAACTGCGTTTGTCAACCCACTTGCCAAGCGTGGCAACTATGGCAAATGTTCAGAAGTGGACTTTACTGATGTGACATGACTGAACAAGTTAAAGTATCGACTTCAGTAGATCACACTGTTTGCAGTGATACTGTTGGTGTAAAACCAGAACAGCCGCTTACATACAATATATCATCATTCATCATCATCATTACAGCCCTTCACAAGTCCACTGCTGAACATAGGCCTCCCCCAAGTAATGCCACAAAGCACGGTCCTGAGCCACCTGCATCCATCGGCTTCCTGCATGTCTTACCAGGTCGTCACTCCATCTAGTGGGGGGTCGCCCTACACTACGCCTACCGGTACGAGGCTGCCACTCGAGAACCTTTCTTCCCCATCGGTTATCGGTTCTTCGAGCTACATGGCCGGCCCATTGCCACTTCAGCTTACTAATCCGTTGGGCTATGTCGGTCACTCTGGTTTTACTGCGGATATCCTCATTTCTGAGTCTATCACGCAGAAAAACTCCGAGCATAGCCCTCTCCATAGCTCGCTGAGCGACCTTAAGCGTCCTCATACGGCCAGCAGTGAAGGACCACGTCTCAGATCCGTAAGTCATCACTGGCAACACGCACTGGTTGTACAATCTAGTTTTTAGAGATTGAGGTATACCTGACGAAAAGATATGCCGTAATTTCCCGAACGCTGCCCAGCCGAGTTGAATCCGTCGATTGACCTCTCGGTCAAAGTTGGACTTACCTAGTCGGACTATTTGTCCCAGGTAAACGTATTCGTCAACAACTTCGAGCATAGTGCTCCCAACAACTACCGGCATAGGTGTGACATGGACATTGAACATGATCTTTGTTTTGTCCATGTTCATCTTAAGACCTATCCGTTGGGAGGCACTATTGAGGTCATTGAGCATAGTGCTTAAGTCCTCCAGCGACTCTGCCATAAGGACTATATCGTCGGCAAATCGAAGGTGAGTGATGTACTCGCCATTGATGTCAATACCGTATCCTTTCCAGTCCAGTAGCTTGAAAACGTCTTCCAATGCAGCGGTGAAGAGTTTCGGGGATATAACGTCACCCTGTCTTACACCTCTCTGCAGTTGGATAGGTTTCGAGCTCTGGTTCTGTACTCGGATAGCCATCGTAGCCCTACTGTACAAACACTTCAGCACTTCGATATACCGACAGTCAACTTGGCACCGCTGAAGGGACTGTAGTACCGCCCAAATTTCGACGGAATCAAAGGCTTTCTCATAGTCCACATACGCCAGGAATAGTGGCTGATTGTACTCTTCAGTCTTCTGTACAATCTGCCGCAGGGTATGTACGTGGTCTATGGTACTGAAGCCTTTTCGGAAACCGGCTTGTTCGGGAGGCTGGAAGTCGTCAAGTCTGCGTGCGAGACGATTCGTAATGACTCTCGAAAACAGCACGTAGACGCGGCTCAGAAGGGAAATCGGTCTGTAGTTCTTTAAGAGAGCGTTGTCGCCTTTCTTAAAGAACAAGACCACCGCACTTCTGCTCCACGCCTCTGGAGTAGTGCCACCATGGAGGACGGAATTGAAGAGCTTCTGAAGGACTTCAAGTACCGGTGTTCCACCCGCTTTCAGAAGCTCCGCTGTAATTCCATCCTCGCCTGGGGCCCTGCCGTTTTTAAGGTGCTGGAGAGCCATTCTAATCTCGCTTAGACTGACGTCCGGGATATCATCGGAATAGTGTCAGATAAGACTTGCTCTTGGATCGTTACTCACACTTGCGTGTGGCTCCAACGATGATGTGTACAGCTGCCCATAGAACCTCTCAATCTCACTCAAAATCTCAGGTGTCCCGGAAACGATGTTGCCACACTCAGTCTTCAGCCTTGACAGTTGGCTCTTTCTGGCAGACAGATCTCTGGCAAAGACTTTGGAGCCCTGGTTCCGCTCGATCGCTTCTTTAATACGAGAAGTATTAAAGTTGCGTAAGTCTCGCCGTATGCATTTGGAGATCTGTCTGTTCAGTTGCCAGTATGCTGTTAAATCTGTTGACGATTGCAGCCTCATCTCCCGTCTAACAGCCATGAGATTAAGAGTGTGATCGGAGAGTTTTTGTGTTCTTCTGCGGCGGGTCTTGCGGAACTTAGCTCCGACCGCATGGACAGTTTCCACGAGCTTGTCGTTCATATCGTCCACTGCATTGTAATCTTCTAGGCACTGGAAGCGGTTACGTAACTCGAGCTGAAAGGTTTCGGGATTCTGGATTAGAGCACGAGGGGGACGGAGCGTTGACTTCATTAGACGAGACCTCTCCAACTTAACGTTTAGGTTCAGTGTGCCTCTAACCATTCGGTGATCGCTGCCAGTTTTCACCCTTGCGATCACTGAGACATCACTGAACAGTTGGCGTCTGGTCGTCATAATGAAGTCAATCTCATTTTTTGTCGAACCGTCGGGGCTCGACCAGGTCCACTTCCTGTGGGGCCGCTTCTGGAACAAAGAGTTCATCATAAAGAGTCCCTCTTTCTCCATAAAGTCGGCCAGCTGCTGGCCCCTTCGGTTCCGTTGCCCTACTCCAAATTTCCCTACCTTCAGCTCACCGCTTTCTCTTGTGCCCAGTTTTGCGTTGAAGTCTCCCATCAACACCGTGTAGTAGGTTTTGGAGGAATGTATGGCTCTGGAAATATCCTCATACATTTCCTCCACTTCCTCATCGGGATGTGCCGAGGTTGGTGCGTAAACCTGAATGACCTTCAGCGAATACCGTTTGGTGATTCTGAGTATCAGGTACGCGACCCTCGTCGACACACTCCCAATCTTTACAACGTTGTTGACGAGAGATTTGTGGACGATAAATCCGACACCTCCTTGGGACAGATGGTCGCCCTCCCGGTGATAGAACAAGTTGCCGGACTCGGGGATTGCCGTATCCTCCCCCTCTCTTCGGACCTCGGATAATCCAATAATATGCCAGCGCAACTTGTCTACCTCTTCTTCCAGCTCCAGTATCTTCTCGTCAGTCCTCAGGGTGCGTGCGTTATATGTTGCCAGGTCGAGTCGTCGTAGGTGGCAACCGAACCTCCACCGGAGATTCTTAGCACCCCCTGCCCCGCCGTTACCATGGTCGCCACCGTAGCCAGGAATAGCGGGGCCGCCGGGGACTGGGGGCCGTCTGTTTGTGTATTTATTCATTGGGGGGTATTTGCCATAGTTGCCACGCTTGGCGAGCGGGTTGGCAACCGCAGTTTTTTATTACGTCACAGTTGTCATCAGGAAGACGCTGCTGCCCATCTCCTGCCTGTCTCCCTCTGTCGCCTCTTACGACACCCACGGGAAGATATGGGGTAGTGGATATTCTTAACCGCCACTACACGGCAAACATACAATATATAAGAGGTCAAAAAGAACTTGCATAACATGTTAAGTTTGTATCCTAAAATTTTGTAACATTACATTTTTCAGTGCCCCGTGGCAGAGTGTTGAGTATCAAGGATGTGAGGATCCTTTATTTAAGGTGAGTTATCTAATATATAAAAAAAATATATTTGTTTGTTCGTATTTTATGTGTTGCCATACCGTTCGTCAGATTACGGTAAAATTTTGTCAACATATTGCTTGCACTTTCGCAAGGGTTGTAGCCATAGTTGGACCTGGTAGGTGGCACTCTTGCAGAATCCAGTTTTGCTCCGTGTTAGGCCGGGGTATATTGAAAGTTTAATATAAAAATATTAATAACTCTTTTGAAATATTATTCAACACAATTGTGTTTTCAGAAGCCATTTTAACTGGGATTAAATTATAAAATAAATTTATGGTAAAATAAAAAGTTTTCTTCAACCAGGGTCTAATCATTGCCAGACAACTGTATTGAACAATTCTAAAGTATTATTATAGTACTTAGTAACTATTACTATGGTTTATTGCAGCGCAGGCAACACGATTGGGGACCGGGGACGGAACATGCTCTCAAAGAATACCATCGTAAGAGAGCAGCTTAAAGCTGCTGTTTACTTAGCTTACTTAGCTTACGTGGTAGAGCCATGCTGCAGTTATATTAGTAGTATAGTTGTAGCACGAACGGGTCGGCTCGACCGGGGAAGGACCACGCTCTCACAGAATACCAGCGTCAAATAGTAGCTTAATGTTGCTGTGTTTCGTATAGTGAGTGTAGAGAACCGGAGACCCTTTTTACTGCAAACGAGGCATTCCATCTTAGTCCTCACGGGTGACAACGCATCTGCATTTTGATTCGTAATCGAGGATAGATGTAGATATCTATGGGCCACAGTAACCACTTACCATCAGGTGGACTGTGTGCTCGTTTGGCACCCTATCCTATAAAAAAATATCATGAGTGTACAGATACACTTTTTTGGATACGAAGCATTCCATCTCAGCCCATAGGGATGACAACGCTTCTGCATTGCGTATTGATTCTTAATAAAAGATAAATGAAGACGTCTATGGGCCACAGTATCCACTGGTATGCACTGGTATCCACTTACCATCAGGTGGACTGTGTGCTTGTTTCTCACTCTTATTATATAAAAAGTCTATTTCCTGACCACGTGCGGGAGGTAGATTTGCTACAACAAGGTAATTATTTAAATCTCAATTTGCCTCAAATTAAATATTTTTACAGCAACAACTTTATGAAACCCAAAGTGTACAACTTCGCTGGAATCAAAGGACTGCTGGCTGATCCTGAATTTGATCCAAATAAGCCGACGACTATATATATTCACGGGTGAGTTATGTAAGTAAATTATATAATTAATACATAAAACGTGTTGATAGGGCACAGAATATCTCGCGGTATCCAATGGTGTTTTTATTGTGCAACGTATATAATGATTGTAAATTGTTTTTATTTTTAAATGTCCTGTTGAGTTTGATACTCGTTCTTCCCAGGACATCATTTTCCGAACCAGTGGTAAATTAAATATTAACTATAGACCTATTACTCTTATCCGAATATTGGCTAAAATATTTGAAAAAACCACGTAGACTGAATAGTTCTCTAAATAAATATAAGATTTTATGAGATGAACAAGACGGTTTTCAAAAAGAAAACTCAACGACACTAGCTCATTACACGCTAATTCGTCACATAACAGAAAACATTGACAAATTTACTGGTGATGTAAATGAGTATTAAATTAAAGTTACTGGCGTCTTCTTCAAAATGAGTAAAGCATTCGATTTTGTAGACCACGATCTGTTGCTAAATAAAATTGAAAAATATGGCAATAGAGGGCTTGCATTCTAGTGAATAAAATGCTATTTTAGTAACTCAATGCGTTCCAATAATTAGAATTAATGAATTTAATTAACAAGTCACACATAGCTCTAAATTCCAAATCACTACAACAGGAGTGGCACACCTTAACCTTCTGTTGGCAATCGATCAACATTGTCGTCTATACGCCGACGATATATCAGTTGTAATAACAGGTAAAGAAAAGCCATCTGATACTGTCATATCCAATCTCATATGATAAATACATAATAGAACCGGGGAGTAGTCGGAGCCCTTGTAGCCACTAAAATGTCACTAACATGTCAATTCACACGTATAACTGTCAACACGAGATGTGTTTTGACGTTACAATCATTTCCAAATTTCGTATGCAAATTATTTAGAAAAAGCTAAATTGTACACTATTTGCACATAAATATGTATTAAAATTTAAACGATTTTTTTAAACGATTTATCTTGAACAATAATCAAAAGTCTAAAATGTTTAAATTTACTCAGTCTGTCAACACAGCGAATCGGGTTTGTAGTAGTGATAATATGACGTAATTGCTTATATGTGTGCACCCAGCGACGTCAACCCTCGTACAAAATAAGGTTGACAGCCATTCTATTGTGTATTATAGTATTCTATAATCATATCTATACATATAATAAATCTGTAGAAAAGTCGTGTCTGTAACTATAATATATTTTTGAAAAAATAAATCCAGGGGACTATATAAAGAGTACTGAAGCCAAATTAGTAGCTTTTAGATTTTTGACTGTCTGTCTTTTTATGTATTCAGGATTCTTAAAGAAAGTATTATTATACATTTTAGCATGTATTTTTATTTCAATTTGAAGTCGATTTACCACGTTCTGGTGTAGTGTAGTCTAGTAGTGAAGGAAAACCTGCATATCTGAGGAGTTTCCCAGATGAGGTCATCCATCATCCCGCGTTGGAATCAGCGCAACGAACACTTTTTTTGGCCAAAAACTCTTTGCAGCCTGTGCCAGTAGTATCATGTATGTAGGCTGCTACTTTTTTACACACACAGTTACAGTTTTTATTTCATTCATATTTTCGGAGATGTTAATTTTTTGTTTTCACTCTACCGTAAATATTAAGTATAGCAAAGATGAGTAGAACTAATCATCGTCATCATTACAGCGTACCAAAAGTCCACTGAAATGAACATAGGCCTTAAATTGTCAAATAGGCTGGACATTTGCTATAGTTGCTATGCTTGATAGGCGAGTTGGTAACCGCAGCTATTATTATTTAGATCTGTTGCCAGGAATATGACGCTGCCCATCTCCTGTTTGTCTATGTCATAAATAATACAGCAAAGGAGTGGAATAATTTGACGGCGTCTATTTTTCCCTCTGAATGCAATCTGGGCGTCTTCAAAGCAAGAGTGAATAGGCTGTGTGAGTGAATTTGTTGCGCTATGACAGTGCGACTTACCATGTCGGGCTACATCACCACGTACCACTAGGTGCGATTGTGGTCAAGCACTGGCTAATGAGATAAAAAAAAATATTATTCACGTGTTCCTGTAGCTATGCCAAATACCAACCACTTACGTCGAATAGTCTTCGAGAATTCAAAAAAAATCTTTAATAGACATAGAGACCTAGATACCGAGGTGACTCTAAAAGTGATCGAATTTTGTTGAATTGGACACGAAACAGCATTTAATGATATTCCCGAATTGAAGCTCACGCGAGTGATGCTGCGGGTAAAAACTACATTCTGCAATCAGCACAGGGAGCGATCCTGTGTTGACCTTCTGTAGAGTTATTCTATATTATGTACCGCAATACTCCGGAACTTTGATAGCGTGATTTAGGCTTTGGCGCATTTTTCTTCCAATCAATTCGGTAGATAACGAAGCCAATTAGATTGAAAGAAAGTTGTAAGAAAGAACAAGTCCGAAACGAAAATTTGTCTCCTTATACTCGTATGTACAAACGAAAACACAAACCACCTGATGGTGAGCAAATGACGATGCTGTAGCTGCTACTACACTTAGCAGTATTAATTGTATTTATTTACCGGCTATAAAACAATGGTCATTCGAGTCGAATCATTATGTCAGAACTGGTAAATATAGGTGGACTGTATAATAATAAGATCATTTTATATGAGCGTTCGCAATTGTCCTTGAGATCGCAGTGCCGTCGGTGTAGGGATAGGTGCGAGCGCACGGGCTTATCCACCAGCGATCCCCCGCAGCCCCCGTTGCTTGCCGTAATCTTCTTTGTGTGTGAACAACTAGAAAAAAATTGAACCGCGCTGCTGTGTTTCATATGGTGAGTGAAGAACACCAGATACCATTTTTACTGTAAGCGAGGCGTTACATCTAAGTCCTCAGAGGTGATAACGCATCTGCATTTTGTTTCTTACCCGAGGATATATGTAAACGTTTTTGAACCACAGTATCCACTTCCCATCAGGTGAACTGAGTGCCCGTTTGTCACCCCTATTCTATAAAAAAAATGTGCCCGGCATAATTAGGATGGTACAGGATAGAATATCTGTTGGTAGTTAACAGATCGTTCTTGAGTTTTCCATCCACCAAACGCAGGACACCCATGTGATGAAATGGACTATTTTCACCTCCAACAATCGGCATATTATCAAACGTACAGACCTGTTGTCATTATTACAGTTACGTGGAGAAAGCCAGTGATGACAGTATTCATACAATAGTAAGATCGTACCGGCGACACGGAGGCTACAATCTGCTGGTATTGGACTGGAGCAACCTGGCCTTCGGGAACTATATCGGTGTTATATATGGCTTACAAAAGGTTTGGGTTGTTTTGTCATAATTGATATATTTATCTTCTTACTTTTTTTTAATTAGCATTGCTTTTTTCTGACTAGGAGTTCTTCTGGGCTCTGGTTCGCTCTCTTAACTTTTTCTGGAGGAAGACTCATAGCTTGCTTGCTTGAATTGCTTGTCTGTCTGAATGACTTTGAACCAGTACAATTATAGGTTGTAAGGCATTCCATCTTAGTTCTCAAAGGTGACAACGCATCTGTAACCTTTATTTGAGGTAGTTTGCGGTTCATGAATAGCAGTATCCACATACTGTCAGAGAGTCTGTAAGTTCGTTGGTAACTTCCTTTTCTTAAAAATCTCTGAAAGCATTTTTACATTAGAGCCAAGCGTCACCTATGGGTCGGTCAGATCCGAAAAGAAATCTTTCACAGAATCATCATTATCATCATTATTATACCCCTTCATAAGTCCACTGACCATATGTCTTACCCTAAAGAATGTGATAAAACATAGGTCACTTGTACCATACCAATACCAGCGTAAAACTAGCAGCTCAACGCTAGAAAGAAAGAAAGAAAGAGATATTTATTTGGCCATTTCTTAAAAAATTAGCAATAAATACTCAAAACATACATTATAATTAGGTATTCTTATAAGTAGACTTAATTATACACTTACACAAACTTAAAAAAAAGTGAACAGCTAACTTAAAAAAACACAAATTTTTTAAAAAAATTGGGAAATGGTCCAAATAGGACTGCCACTCAGGAAACGCTAAGATGTGTCATCCTAGCCCTGATTTTCAGTGGCTACCTTAAGTACATTATATAGATACACACACATATAATATATATACATATACATAGATATAATACATATACATACAAAAATATATACATACGGATAACGCACATACTCATACACACATGGGCACATATTTTCTATATATACGGGCACATATAATACATACTTATTTGAATTAATAATACAAGTATATACACAATTGGTAGGTTTTTAATATTCTTTTTATATTTACTTTTGGGCCACAACTGCCTTATCTCTGTAGTGCTATACCGGATGTTTATGAATGTTACTTTCATTGCATAACAGGAACCGACGATATAAAAATAATTTAAATTTCATATAACATATAAAACTTATACACAATCGCAACCCGAGAGATATGTTCAACATAACATGCTACCGCATCCATTTAGCATGTTTTATCACAGAACCTGCGCTAACACTACGCGCGCAATGGAAAGAAAATAGTGTAATTAGATTGTACACCCGTGACGTATGAAGGAAAAAAATGACAATTATACGCACTGGAACATACATAGATATACACGCTAAAGCATAAAAACATTAAATTTTAAATTGATAATCTATGATCGTAGCTGTTCGTTTAAGTAGCTTTGTATTTTGTACGAAAACTATACACTGATTGTAGGTTTCGAAGTGGCGGTGGAAGGTTATTCCAGCACTTAGTTGAGGCATATCTGAAGCTCCCTCGGAATGCGGCAGAATGATGTAGAGGTATGAGCAACTTGTACGCCGAAGCTCTTGTCGAAATTGTAGCATTGTCTCGTGCCCATTGTAACTTATTATAAAGATAGGAGGGAGTCCTCGTTTTGATAGTGCCAAACAATAAAGTGGCGAAATGTAGTTGCCAACGGTAATCCATTTTAAGGATTCTTGCGTTGTTAATATAAGGTGTTACATGGGCACGTGGAGGAATTTTATAACAGAAGCGGGCGCAGGCATTTTGAACACGCTGGATTAATTTCCTTGAACGCGCGAGAAGTCTAGGCCCTAATACCGCGTCAGCGTAGTTAAATTTAGATAGTACTAACGATTCGCATAATTTCTTACGCACCTCAGTGCATAAAGCATTTCTGATTTGGTACAGAACTTTTAGCCGGTAAAAGCAGTTTTTAGCTGTATTAATTATCTGTTTTTCAAACCTCAGCTGCTCATCCATTACTATTACTAAGTTTCTCGCCTCGTTAACACGCTCAACATTTAAATTTTTTATTTTTACCATTGGGTGGGCAGCTAACACTTTACTGATTTGTGCTTTAGTACCGAGTAGCATGTATTTGATTTATTAGGATTTAAAACCAAGGTATTTGCTTCATACCAATCTGCTATACGATTTAGATCATCATTCAACTTTTGTATTGCATCAGTACTTTCACTGGGGCGGAAGGAAATATATAGCTGCAGGTCATCAGCATATATGTGGTACTTGCAGTTTGTTATGCTTTTTGTAATATCTGCACTATACAAGGCAAAAATCAAAGGACCCAGTATTGAGCCTTGCGGCAACCCTCTCGCAACAGGAGAGCATTCGGAAACTGTTCTAGAGCCGTCACTATCCGTTACTTCGACAATCTGCCTACGATCACTAAAGTAACTAGCAAACCAGTTGAATGTATTGGAACTAAACCCATAATACCTAAATTTTGCTAGCAGTAGACGTCTATTTATCGAGTCAAATGCACGGGAATAGTCCAAAAGTACTAAAATAGTAGCCTTACCAGAGTCTTGCGCATTTAAAATATTATCAACCACATCGGCTAAGGCTGTTGTTGTACTATGCTGTTTCCTAAAACCGGATTGAACGTTTGGTAGGATGTTATTCAATTTTTTCTTCAAATCCTTAAAGTCCATATTATTTACTTTTTTAGGAATTGGTCTTACTAACGCCATTCGCCAGAGAGTGGGAAACCTTTTTGTAGTGAGAGAGATGTTTAAAATCTTTGTGATAGCACCTATGGAAAAGGGGAGACTCGACAGTAGCATTTTCAATGAGATATCATCCACACCTAGAGCGTTTGATTTTAAATTTTAAAGTATTTTTATAACAGAGTTATTGTCAGTTTGAACAAGGTCAAATATTGCAGAACTAAATCTGTTCGTTTCGTAATAATCTATAGTTGACTGTGAGGCAGAACTCGGGCCTGGGATATTAAGGAAATGATGGTTTATATTTTCAGGATCGCTTAAATTAGGGGGCAGAGATGCTTTGTGGTCATTTTTTATTTTAATTTGTCGTTTTATGTGGGTCCAGAGTATTTGAGGATTACTTATATGATAGTTAACGTAGGTATTAAAATCAGCAGATTTTCATTGTGTATAGCAATAGTAACTTGTTTTTTTAGTTCTTTGTAGTAATTAATATGATAATCTAGCTTTGTTAACCGTGGTTTTGAATGCGCTCGATCACGGAGACCCATCATTAATTTAACATTGTAAGTTATCCAGGGGTAATGATGTTTCTTAATGCATACCGATCTAAGTGGCGCAAGTACGAGTAGGTTAAAAACAGATAAAATGGCTGTGTTAAATTCAGTTACCATAGCGTTGACGTCTGTCATATTTGTAATTGAATCCCAGTCTACATTTTCTAAAACCTGGTGTAGGCGATTCGATTCAATATACTTGAGTGGATTATAAACTATTCTACGTGGAGGACATTTTGAAGTTATCAACCCAACTTCGCATGATATAAACGCTTGGTAGCTCAAATCGGGAATATAGTCCACATTTACTTGATTGAAGTTTACATTAGAGCAAATAAGATCTATTAGTGTTTCGCTGTTGTTTGTGAAATGTGTAGGTTTGTTGACATATTGTTTAAGACTGTTTATAATAAGAAACTTCTCTAATATTTTAGTGTAAGGGTTGTGTTTATCAAGGTAGTTGATATTAAAATTTCCGAGGAGCAGTAAATAGTCAAACGATGGGAAGGAATTAATCGTTTCTGTAAGCGCATCAAGGAAATTATGTAATTGAAACCAAGGTGGCTTGTAGGCAGTGCCAATTACAATAGACTTACCACTGATCTTGGTACTCAGCCACATTTGTTCCACTAACGGTGCTATGGGGTGAGTGAGAATGCGAACTGGAAGCCCCCGTCTGATATAAAAACCCACACCGCCACCTCGTGTACGTATTTCGACCGACCTGGGAATATGTCGTAACTGATAGCCAGGCAAACAAGGTGCTCGACCTTCTTCCCCTTGCCGAAGCCAGGTTTCACTTAACACCATAATGTCCACCTTATGACGGTCCATTGCCACCACAAACTCATCATGACGCGTTCCGAGTGAGCCGGGATTTATAAAACCAACCTTTAAGTTTTTTTCTAGCCATTGTAATATAATGTTATTAAAATTATACTTGGTATATAACAGTTAATAATATATAATTTGTAACGATTAAAGATATTTAATGTAGGTAAAGGTTTATGGACAGAAATCCACTGGAAATTACTTGTAAAGGCCCTATCCCTATACACGGTTAGTTCTGAGGAAATAATATAAGTAGTGCCCAGATGAGGACGGATAAAATGTATAAATAAAGCCAAATAGGATGGGAATATATTATATAAATAAATGTAAAATTTATCCCAATGCATACATTCAAAAGATTGACGAATCTCTACAATTGTAACACAGTGTACAGAAAAATAACAGACGTTTATGTTTACGTTAAGACAAAGCGTAGCAAAATATATTAAGAAGTGTCGCAGAACGTAATTCACGGCATACATTAAATCGTGAGACACGATAAAAATCACATTAAACATATTGAACTCCATAAAAATACTACAGAAAAATAATATAAAAAGAAGTAAAATATTGTCAACAAACTTACGCGGTAATTTATAATGTGGACACAACGTATAACAGTTAAGAACCCTACAATCCTTGAGCCTAAAAAACATTAAAATGTACTATGACTATACAAAACAATAAGATAGAAATAAAATTTAAGTATATTAAACATCAAATTTAATTAACACAAAAAACCTTTACAATATCACTCTCCATATGAATTCGTCGTTTGCTCGACATTGAATCACGCCTTACAAATATATTGCCGTTTTTTGTCCATACATAACGCCAGTTATTTTGCCGTGCTTCTTGTCTAACCTTAAAGAAAAGTTGCTTGTTAGTGTGCGTCAGGCGTTCATTTAAATAAAAGCGTTTCAGCATTTGTGTTTCATTTGTTTCA